CAGCGTTCCCCACCTGCCCAGCACCTTGGCCTTTCAAGACCACCTGTTCTTTGGGGAGAACTCACGCACGCGCCCCCTCGGCCACTAATTTGCCAAGAGGCAACGGTGCTCTCATTTGGAAGTAGTTTAGAATGGTGAGCATTTTCCCAGCGTGGCAACAGTATTAGACCTGCTTTGACGACAAAAACTGCCCAGCAAATTGGGGTCCTAAACAGTGGGCAGGAGTCTCTAAATTCAATTGGGCTACCATTTGTAAGCTAGACTGTTTTAATTCTAGAAAGTGCCAACCTCAGAATCTGAAGAAGCATTACCCCGAGTTTAGGAGTAACTGGGGTGACTCTCCCCGCTGCTACAAGCTCTGGAAGCCTCTGAACAGAACCCACGTCCTGGAAACAACGGAGAACTCCGTTTTTACCTCCTTTGTCTTTACCTGAAGGCAAAAAATAAAATCTGCGTTCCAGTTGCCCTCAGAACTAAGGCCTGCTAAATGCCTCCCTGGAGTCAGCGGATCATTACAGTGTATATAAAAGCAACTGAGCGTGTCCTCAATCAGTGCTGTTATCAATAAAAAAGATAATTTACAAAAACGTAAATATTCATAACCTAATCCAGCTGTATTTTCTGCTTTTGCACCACAGGTTGAAGGATATTTTAAAAACCAAAAAAAGTAAAACCTGAAAGCCTCAAAATAAGCTAGATCCACCTTCCCTCTTCCAAAGGACAAGGGCCTGAGCACACGAGCGTCGTTTATTACGTGTGAAGGAGCCCAAACACGTGACCAGCGTCTGCCGTGAAGTCACTCGGGTCTCCCAAATCTTCACAAAAAGACGCGGCGACTTCAAGTCCCGCGTGTGACGAGCCCGCACGCCTGAGGCCCGGCCCGGGTCCCCGGCCTAGCACTCTGTCTCCTTGCTGCCCACGCGGTTCTGGCGCTGCAGCTTGAAGGACGAGGCCTTCTCGCTCCTCGTGACGGGCCGGCCCGTGAGGTCCTCGAACGACTTGGCGGCCGTGCTGCTGTTGGGGAAGGGGTCCTTCTCAAAGCCGTCCTCGTCCACGTGCGAGTCCGTGCTGGGGTCCTCCTGGATCGTGTCCATGCGCTGGTGGTCCAGCTTGGGAGCCGCAGGCACCGGCGGCGGCGGCGCGGGGGCGGCCTGGAGGGGCTGCGGGCGGCCGGGGGTCTGGGGCGCGGGGAAGGGCTTGACGATGCGAACCGAGGCCGAGTCCATGCTGCTTAGCATTTCCACGTTCTGCAGAGACAGGGAGTCACAGGCGGCTCCGGGTCGTGGAGCTCCAACCTCCCCCGGCAGGCGGCTGTACCCTACGGGGACCGTGACCCCTCGCGCTAAGGGAAGCACGAAGTGAGGCTCCCTCACCTTCCGAAATCCTGACAACCTGGCCTCTGAGGACCCAAAAGAGAACTCACAAATAACCCTATCAAGCTAGGATCCCAAGACGGGAAGGTCACTGCCGAGGCGCTAAATCCGGGCCAGGGGCGGGGCAGAGCAGCCTCGGCTTTCCCTCCGTCCACACAACCAACCCAAGTCCCAGCCTCCCGCCTTCCCGCCGCCAGGGACCCGCACCGGCGGCGGCCGTGGGGCTGACGGCTCTCGCTGGGGGGCTGACGGGAGGCCACAGCGGGGCCCAGGACGCACCCGAAGGCGACTTTCTTCCACGTGGGTACTTACGCTGGGGTGGAACAGAGACAGCGACTCGTACTGCTTATCCAGTTTCTTATCCTAGAAGGAAAACGAGCAGGAAGGGGTCACTCTTAGGAAAATTCAGTTACACGCTCTTTCCCTTCAGGCCCCTCCTAAGCGAAGAACTCACTCCGAACGTGAGTGTGGAAAGTGGCAGCGAGTCCAGCAGAGGAGAAGAACGTCTCAGATAAACTTTAGGAGTTCTGCCACCAGCCTGAAGTGTTTCTTTCCCTTGAGGCAGTCAGTGTACTGGTGTTAACAAAGCAAACGGTCCAGGAATGTTTAAGTACGGTCTTTCTGAGCGATGTCCCCCAAAGCCATTCCCCACGTGCTGAGGGGTCAGAGCCACGTCACCCCTGAGGGGGGACGCGAGGGCAGCCGCGGGGGTCAGAGGGCGCTGCACCGGCTCAGACGCCCCAGGCCGCCAAGGCCCGCGCACTCTCCTCAGCCTCGTCCACGGTGACCGTGACCCAAATGCTCGGAGGGACTGGGCCTCGAGCCCCCACATCACTCTCTCTGCAGAAGGCTGAACACGTGGTATTGTCCCTGCCCCCAGCCCCTGCCCGACATGAGACACAGTGACGGGCAAGACAGGAGGCCGAGCCCGACAATCTAGGCCTGGCTCCCGGCGCAGCTGTCGTCACGTGTTCCATGGTCAGGAACCAGGCACCGGCATCCTCCCGTCCGCGGCTCTGCTCCAAAACCAAGGGCCAGGCCTCTGTCACAATGGGAGCTTGCGACGCACACAGAGGAGGCTGGCCGCGAGCAAAAGCAACAGTAAGAGCGGCAGTCGCGGCCACCTGTCAAAGCTTCAGCCACGTCACCTTCACCACAGCTTTGCTTTAGCACAGCTGTTCCCTAGACCCTCGCCACACCCATCATGCTCACCGTCCCTGGGGACGAGCTGCTCAGCGAGAGCCCGGGCAAGACACGTAAGGAGGCAGAGGCAGCAAAGACTCATGAGACGTAGCTGTGCCGGAATTTTCCAGGTGCTCAAAGGAGGGGGCACTGCACAAGACTTGTTCCAGAGCACGAGTCTGGAAGCCGGGGTTGGGTTTTCTCATCTCTACAGCAGACAAATTCTCACTTTCCCATAGAAGCAAGGGTGGGTGATTTATAAGAAAAAAATGTTAAAGCCCCCAAGTTTATAAATCACGTGGGGTTCATTAGAGAAAGCCCAATTCAACTCATTAGCTGTTACTCACTTTGAACGAGAATAATGAGGATTGCTCCCTCTTATTAGATGGGAGGCCTGAACACCCTATACGGTAAGGCCAGGGATCTGTAGGGTAGAGGGAGCCGTCTTTGGAATGCTCTGGTCTAACAAAGCCAGAAACGCTCTTGTTTCAAAGCTTCAGTCAGAGGTCCTGCACAAATCCAGTTAAACAGTCCCCCCGGGCTCAGGAGTAGAACAGTCCTCAAATCACACGTGAAAACAAACATCCATACACAAAAAACATAATTCTTTTAAGAGACTATTAGCTTAAAAAAAAGACATATTAGCTAAAATTGTCACAAAATAAACCTTCCTAGGGAACAACAGCAAAAAATGTCATTGGAAACATCAGGTCGAATCTTGCTAAGAACAATTTTACCTTTTCCAAAAGTTGTAAGTTTGGAATTGTGCAAAATCGTAGTAAGTGCTTCATTACCTAAAGTCGGTGACTTACCACACAATGGACAAGAATGCTGAAAGGGATCCAAAATATCAAGGAGAAAACCAGGACGGAACCCACGATGTTGTCCGCTAAAAACTTCCCTGTGAACAATTCGAAACGGTGAATGTCCTGATTAAGTACCTTAGACACTCAGAATTCAGCGCTCTTAGTATACCATCATAGTGTCAAATGCCACAGACTGTTCGTCAGGTGGTGCTGCTGAGAAGTGTCATTTCAGACAGAGCCCCGACACGCTTATTGAGAAGAACAGATTACATCACACGATGCTCCACACAGTCCCTTGACTGATGCTGAGGGACTAATCACATGGGAGACTACTACTCGTGCTGACGCGTAACAGGACAAAGTTGGTGCTTTCTGGGTTTTATTTTTGGGACGATGAATGATGAACCCTGCGGGACAGAATACACTGCTGCTTCTGCAACATCTGAGGCCCACTGTTAAAACAAACGATGCTTACATCAAACACGATTCAGATTTACAACCCACGGCACTGAACCACGCTTATGCGGTCACGTGTTCATCTTCTAGGAAAGAAGGAAACCAATATTTGACTTTCCTTGTCTGAAAATCTGCGTATCCACATTACACAGGGGGAGACCTGTGAGTCCATTTTATCGTAGCTGACAAATATGTTTCAAGACAAAAGCTGTGAGGGGCACCTGGGTGGCTCAGTTGGTTAAACTGATGTCGGCTCAGGCCATGATCTCATGGTTCGTGAGATGGAGCCCCCCACATGAGGCTCTGCGCTGACAGCAAGGAGTCTGCTTGGGACCCTTTCTCTCCCTTTCTCTCTCTGTCCCTCCCCCACTTGCACACACTCTCTCAAACATTTAAAATAATAATAGTAGTAGTAATAAGACAAAAGCTATGAATATTTCCATCTTCTGTTGCCAGACAAGAGCATATGAATCTGAAACCACACTTTTCTAATGTCATCATTAGAACTGAAAGCAGCTCAGCTCTAGGCAAACAACCACCCAGGGAAATCACGTACCAAAAGTGTTGATGCTCAACTGGTCAATGAAGTCCCAGAATCGCTCGATGACGTCCTGGACTCGTTTCTCACATTTGCCCTAGGACCGGAAAACAGCCAATTTTACAATCAGTGGAGGAAAAAACCAAGGAATTAACGCTCACCACCTAAAACCAACCAACTTTACCAAAAAGGCCGCCCCAGGTCCCACCCGGTCTCTGGACTCAGGGCTCTGGCTATGGAGAGAGTGCTTGGGTTTCCGGGGCTCGGCTGCCTCCTTCCACAGACAGACAGACAGATGTGCGCGAGAGCGAACAGCTGGCGCCAAAGGCACTCCTTCCGTTTGCAAAAGCAAATCTTTGCGATACAAAAACTGCCCACCTGACCGTTACAGAAAAAGCTGAACAGAAGGAAACACTCACATTCATGTCACAAAATCCCACCGTACACGGCTTTCCTTTCCTCAAGAATAAGTTCTTTTGTTCAGCGTCCACATAGGGCACGCACCGGCCCGAGGGGTCCCGGCAGCACACCTTGCACGAGTTGTCAGTCTCTGAAACGGAACCGGGGACAGCGGGAGTCCGGTCAGGGACAGGGCGCTCCTCCCTTCCCTCCTCCCCGCCCCCACCCCCACCCCCAAAGGGAAGCAAGTCCACTCATTTTTCATTTCAACAGCAAACGATCCCTAGTTCAGCCCCAAAGAGTTAACTTCTGAGTTCACGCTCCGGGGTCCTCAGGCCACAAGGTAAAAACAATTCATTCACACCCAAGAGTTTCCTTTCTTAAAGGGATTAAAAGCCAACTTATTCTACTTCAGATCCTTCATGATGCTAAATGTTTCCCTTTATCCCAACGTTCTTATTACACTGCTTTCGATCCTTCCCTTCTCAGTTTGAAATACTCCTTGCACAGCCAAGGCTCCAGTGAGAAGCCAACACACTGTGACAGAACGGGCCCACTGCAGATGTGAGTCACCTGCCGTGTGACCAGAGCACGGCTCGTGGGGTGATGGAAATAACGCCACCACATAAGCCACGTGGCACAGACACCAACAGCGGAGATGCCCAAAAAGTCACCTGGCGGTGTAACTCGGGACGGTACTTGACCCGGAGGCAGCCCATATTTACCCTTACTTGGAGAAACGGAAATCAACTAGAACACAGAACATGCCAAACCGCCTCAATGGGGAAAGAAAAACCTTTTCATCATTCCTTCACTTATCAAGCATCTCCTGGGCATTTACTACGTGTTCTTCCGGGGCATCCCAAGCCTTTGCCACGCACTCGATAAATTATTTGTTTGACATCTGCTGTGTCAAATACCTTCCTTATTCACTTCTTATTCCACCTGGAGGAGGCCCTTACTCCACTGTATGGATGGTGAGTTCCCAACCTGGCGGTTTTGACTTCTGGGGGGTTCGGAGAGCAACAGAACTCTCTCAGGTGAGGCAGGGCAGGAAGGCTGGAGCCCAGTCAGTTCCCGAGGCCCCTTCTCAGACCCAGGAGTTCCAAAATAGAAGGTGGAAACCTGAGGACGAGTGTCTTGAGAGGCCAGCATGAGGTCACCAGGCATCGCTAAGCAGGGCCCTTGCCCCAGACACCCGGCAGCGGGCCCAGCCGTGTTGACAACAACGAATACCCTGACAGGGTCAGGTCCTGGGATCGGCTCTCTCTGGTTGAAGCCTTGAAGGTATCGCAGTTCACTGCCCGTAAGATGCAGACGGCGCCAGCTGCGCTCGTGGGGCGTCTAACATGGTGCGTGCGTGCGGCGAGGACAGACCTCCGCCCACCCACTCAACCGCAGCAAAATTCCCTCCTATCCCACCCCTCAGCCTACACCACCACGTGCTCTGAAAACATCGCGAGAAGGCCGACCGACAGCACGGTTTTCATAGACAAGGTAGAGGGGCAAGGACCTGAATCCAGAGAGCTCCGTCCCCCAGACCACCCTTGAGTTCTCCCCCCTTGAGTTTCGGGGCGGGGGGGGGGGGGGGGGAACGCACCGCCGCCCTGGCCAGAGCGAGCGGCTAATCCTGCTGGGCCCCCAAAGGGAGGGACAGGGCCCGGTGGACACAGGCCATCTTCCCTCCGGCGGCGAGGACGCAGCATGGAGATGCGCTCACCGTTACACGCACAGGACTCCAGCCGCTGCTCCCTCTCACAGAAGGGAACGCACTTCCCATCTTTACACTTGCCAAGATCCAAGCACACCGTGTCATCTGCGGCGTTTCCGGGAGGGGGGCACTCGCTGCTGTTACCTGGAAGCACACAACGAGCACACAGGTCACGGGGAGTCACGCGACCACCGGTCCTACGGGGCAGACCCGGAATTCTCGCAGGTCAGCACCGCGCCTCACCAAGAGGAAAAAGCAACCCACGGGGCAGGACGCCGGCAGCCTGTATCCAACCGGCCGATAAACACCGAGTGCCTCGCTGGGTACCGAGCACCATGCAGTGCAAGTCTCCGTGCTCCCAAATGTCTGCACTCAGTCTCCCCGGCCTCCCCTCAGCCACTATTTCACATTTTGCTTTTACTTTTTCTTTTTCCGTGTTTGTTTCTTTTTGAGAGAGTGAGTGAGCAACAGCATGTGTGTGCACTTGTGCACGGGAGAGGGGCAGAGAAAGAAGAAAACAGAGGATCTGAAGCAAGTTCCACACCGTCAGCACAGAGCCCGGTTTGAGGCTCGAACCCACAAACCACGCGACCGTGACCTGAGCCGGCTGGGCACTTCACTGACTGAGCCACCCAGGCAGCCCTGCTTCTACCTTTGTATCGTGAAACACAACTACGTATAAAAGAATATACACAGGGGCGCCCGGGTGGCTCAGTTGGTGAAGCGGCCAACTCTGGGTTTCAGCTCAGGTCACGATCCCGCAGTCTGTGCGATCGAGCCCCGCGTCGGGTTCCGTGCTGTCGGCAGAGCCTGCGTGGGATTCTCTCTCTCTGACCTCCCCTGCTCACGCTCTCTCAGTCTCTCTCAAAAAAGATAAATTATATATATACACATACATAACATCCACAAGCTACTGAACAAACATTAGAGCCGTTTACTTGGACTGAAAAGCAAGCTGTGGGGAAGGCTCACAGAAGCGGCCGGCCAGGCCCCTCCAACCTCACCAGCGACAACTCCCGAGCCCTCACGCTCAGCCGCCTTCCATTTCTTCACTGCTCCAAGGTCTCTCACCACAGAACCTTAACGAAGGCTGTCCCGTCCACCTGGAATGCCCGAATGCCCTCATTTCCATCTCTGAGGGAAAGGGCTGGTTCTTACTCCCCCTTTAGATCTGGCTCACAGGCGTCCCTCGGACCTCCCGGGGACCCCGCTTTCACCCCCACTGTGCTCCATTGCTACAGCTACAGCGACTTCTGTCCTTCAAGCACACGTGGTGCAATTTACATCTACTTGATGATGTGCTTTCTGTTCCCCTCACAGAATGGGAAGCTCCACGACAGCGAAGACCAAACCTCTTAGTGAATCCGTTTATATCCAATCCCTATCACACCATAAGGACATCACAAATATCTCTTAAATGAATCAATGATTCTTAAGGACAAATAAAAGCCACCGAAGGATGTTAAACTCCAGTGAGAGGATGGAATGAGTGACTCATTCTGGAAAATGAGCAGCACGAGCACGACGCGAGAGAAACTGCTGCAGGAAAACAATGGGTGGGGACCAGAGCTGGAGGCCTGGCCTTCCCACGGCGGGATGGAACCGACCCACCAAGTCAGTGCGGCAGTGACACCAAATGCAAAGGAACCTGCCCCGTTTCGTTAAGTGCCCGGGATACACCCCAGCCTAACTCGGGTGCGCCACACCTGCCTCTGGTCTCACGGAACCCTTCACGGGCGCCGGGCCTTCGGTGTCCACGGGGCAGGCACGTGACAGGCCTGCCGCTGCGGAGCGCAGGCTGTGAGGAAAGCGCAGCAAGCGGTGAAGTGGGACACTCTGCACTGTCACCGTGTTTTCGGTCTACGACGCTGCCCTGAGCAGATACGTAAAAAATGCTTCACGACTATCTGTCAAACGCCTGTTCTCAAGAGACTGGTATCAGAGTAGCAGACACGGAGAAGATCCGTAAAGGCACAGTGTCACCTGTCTCACTGGGCTGTCCGTTCAGGGTGCGTCAGAGCTAGCAGGTAGGGCGTGCGGCGGGGAGGGGCCCGGGGAGGGGGCCGAGAACTTCCCGCCTAACGAGATAGCAGGTGATGCGACGCTGCTGGACGCTGCTGGTCGGGGATGCTGACCTTGTAACGCACTCACGCTCCGCGAGTGCTGCTCCATAGAAAATACCAAGGAGACAAAAGGCTACTTGATGAGAATGAACCAAGTTTTTCAAACTGCTTTGCTTATGCTTATTGAAAACATTTTTCTGAATCTGCTTTATTATTATAATAAAGACAGAAACACTGAGCACAGCTAGAAAACGCTGATGTAAACTTGACTGAGACATTCTGGCTCCTGACGTGGCAGATGGCCGGCACGCTGACAGATCTCCGAATGCAAGAATCACGAGTCCCGTCCGATAAAATGCACATTTAAGAGTTCAAAGGAAAACGGAAATGAGACAAAACTTCACTAGAATGGTTATAATCAGAAAGACAACCCGTGTTGGTGAAGGTGTGGACGGACAGAAACCCTCAGGTGCCGCCGGGGGCAGGGGGGAAGCATAAAATGGTACAGCCGCCGTGGAAATCAACCCGGCAGCTCCTCAAACGATTCAACAGTGACCACGTGACTCGGTTCCACTCCTGGGCACACACAAGGGAAAGGAAAACATATGTCCACACAACATGTGCACACAGGTGTTCACGGCAGTATTCACGAGAGCCAGAGGGCGGAAAGAATCCAAAAGTCCGTCAAGTGATGGCGGCCCACCCTAGGACACTGGGACGGGATGCAGAGCTGGGAATACACTAAGTACTGACACGGGCTACCTCATGGGCGGATCTCGAAAACGTGATTCTGAATGAAAGATGCAAGAGGCCACACACTGTAGGACCCCACTTACACGAAACATCCAGAACAGGCGAATACACAGAGACCAAAAGTAGATTACTGGTTGTCCGGGGCTTGGGAGGGATGAGGAGGCTCGGTGACGGCTAAAGGAGACAGGTTTCCTTTCCAGGCGATGAAAATGTCCTAACACGGAGCGTGGTGGTGACTGCACAGATGCGAATACGTTAAAAAACACTGAACTGTACGCTTTAAATGGGTGAACAGTATGGTATGTTCACTGTATCTTTTTTTTTTTTTAACGCAATTGGCTTTTTAAATTTTTTTTCATGTTTTATTTATTTTTAAGACAGAGAGAGACAGAGTGTGAGAGGGGATGGGGCAGAGACAGAGGGAGACACAGAATCCGAAGCAGGCTCCAGGCTCTGAGCTGTCAGCACAGAGCCCGATGTGGGGCTCAAACTCACGAACTGTGAGATCATGACCTGAGCCAAAGTTGGACACTTAATCGACTGAGCCACCCAGGCACCCCTCACTGTATCTCAATAAAGCTGTTATGAGAACCAAACCAACCAACCAAAAAACACAGAAAGTTAAAAAAATAAAAGAATGGGATAGATACACCAGACAAATAGGAACAAAAAAATCTGGGGTAACTGAGTATCCAATAAAACATTAAGGTCAAAAAAGTCACAAGGGTCAAAAAGAAACATTATATACTGGGTAAAGGAAGAGCAGATCATGAAAATGTAGACAGTATGTCCAGTTACGTACCTAATAACATAGTTTTGAAAATTTTTAAGGAACTGACGGAACTGAGAAAATATGCATAGTTCATATAGATAGCTTACAGATTAGCGCCAGGTGGATTAAAGTCCTAAAGGTAAAAGGTAAAATAATGAACCTAATGAAACACTGTGGAAAATATCTTTGTAACTGTCCATAGTTCAATAAAATACACACCCCGTCACAACAGCAAGATCTAATTATTAAAATCCAAGTTGTGTTCCAAGAGGGGCACCTGGGTAGCTCAGTCCGCTGAGCATCCAAACTTCAGCTGGGGTCATGGTCTCATGGTTCAAGAGTTCGAGCCCCACATCAGGCTCTCCACTGTCAGTGTGGAGCCTGCTTCAGATCCTCTGTTCCCCTCTCTCTCTCTCTCTCTCTCTCTGCCCCTCCTCCACGCGCATGCTCGCTCAAAAAAATACATAAAAAGTGTTCCAAGAAGGACAACAGATAGGAGGAAGGCATATGCAATGTTTAAACCGCTTGAATTATGCAAGAATTCCTTCAATCAACAATAGCAAAAAGACATAAAACCCAACTTTTAAAAATGGACTAAACAGGGGTGCCTGGCTGGCTTAGTCAGTAAAGCATGGGACTCGATCTCAGGATCGTGAGTTCAAGCCCCGGAGCCTACATTAAAAAAGAAAAAAATTTGGACCAAGTATATGAACTGGCTATTCACAAAAGGAAAATTCTGAATGGCTAACAGATCTAAGAAAATGTTCAAGAAACATGCAAACAGGGATGAGAGATCACGTTACACTCATCAGATTGGCAAAACATAAGACACCTGGACAATACTGAGGGTTGGCAAGGACACTGGGATGCAGGACTCCACACGCACTCCTGGCGGCACTGACACACCAGGACCGCCGTTCTAGACATCAATGTTCTGCCGCTTTCTGTAGCCAAGCAATTCCACTGCTGCCCATGTACCCAGGAAACTCTTACAACACCTGGAAGACATGTGTGATGATGTCTGCTGCAGTCCTATCTGCAGGATCCAGAGGTGAAAGCGACCCAAGCCATGACTTAGTGAACAGCGGAGTACGCTAAATATGTTAAATCATACACGTCAACTCAGCAGGTGCCACAACGATGAACTATGTATAAACACGGATATAGACATGTAGACAAAGACATACAGCACTACACAGATAATTAAAAACATGGCACTGAGTTTCCAAAAAGATCTAAAGTAGAATATCATTCTGGCATGTTAAAAACACCCATATACACAGAATAACACTACATGATCTTTCAAGGAAATACACACGGCCAGGCAAATATGAAACACATTAGGACACTGCCCGGGAGAGGAAGGGCACGATGGGGACGAGGTGAATGACAGGGAAGTAACGAAAAAAAAAAAAGAAAACAGAATGGGGCTGGCAAAGACCAGTGACAAGTGTATCTCAACCTAAGGAGTATTATTAAAACAAGCCTGCACATGAAGTTTATGAAGGGTTGTTTTCATCTAAATGAAATACAATGCGGTTTCTTTTTTTTTTTTTTTCAACGTTTATTTATTTTTGGGACAGAGAGAGACAGAGCATGAACGGGGGAGGGGCAGAGAGAGAGGGAGACACAGAATCGGAAGCAGGCTCCAGGCTCTGGGCCATCAGCTCAGAGCCCAACACGGGGCTCGAACTCACGGACCGTGAGATCGTGACCTGGCTGAAGTCGGACGCTTAACCGACTGCGCCACCCAGGCGCCCCGACAATGCGGTTTCAAACACACGCACATGCTCACTTGAGCACAGTATCCCGAGAAGCCCCGGGGGGACATACCTGTGCAGTAAGACACGCCTTTGCAAGTAGCATTAATAGCCTCCTGGCACTTCTTCTGGGCAGTCTCGAACTGACAGTTTTTACAGCAAGGACTGTTCCTATCACTGCAGAGGGAGAGCAGACGGGACAGTCCAAGTCAAACATCAGCCCCGCGGCACACACTACCGTCAAGTCACAAGGTCCTGAAGATCGCAGGGAAGGCCTGTGGCTGGGTCACCCAGGCCTGCGTGCTGGGCCCCCCCAGGTGCTGGTCCACCTGCATGTACTGTCGGCCCTTCCTTCTATGGCATCAGGAAGCAGTGCAGACAGTAAGTACAGACAGGCCCAAGGTGACTCATCCTTAAGACACCTTGGTGTCCTTGGTTTTCATTAACTTAGTGTCATAATTTCTTAAAAAAGGAAGACATGGGTCTGCAAGGCAACCGTGGTAAGGAAGCCAGGCAACCAGAGTCCTAGTTCCCATCAAAATTTACATCAAGGGCACCTGCATGGCTCATCTGGTTAAGCATCCGCCTTTGGTTCTGGTCATGACCTCACAGTTCGTGAGTTTAAGCCCCACATCGGGCTCCCTGTGCTCTCATCACAGAGCCCCCTCTGAATCCTCTGTTCCCGCTCTCTCTGCCCCTCCACCACACATGCTCATTCTGTCTCAAAAATAAACACTTTTTAAAAATCTTAAAAAAAAAAAAAAAGATTTTACAACATCAATATGTTCATAGTCAAATCCGCTATTCACCAAGTTTTCCCCTTGTACTGCTAAGCCAGGCACTGGTCATAAAAATGGAAACACAGGTACCTTCTAATTTGTAACCTGCCTCCTCCGTATTTAGCTTATGCCATTAAACAGTAATCTCAACATTATTTTATTGGAGAGAAACACAAGAATTAATTTCGATCTCAGGAGGACTGTCATTCTGTGTCTAATATTTTATCACTATGAAAGAATGTAGCCATGAAATCACCTCTCTCGTACATCTGTTTCCTTAGAAAAGACTCTCTGAGCTATGGGATGCGGAATCAAAGAGTACACAAGGTTATAGATTTTGTAACATAAAGTCAAACTGCTTTCCAGAAAGCATTTTTCTTTCTGTAAAGGACAAAAAGGACAAACACACGTGCAAGCGTGTGCACACACCCTTTCACGGTTCCAAAGCCCCTGCGTTTTCCAACTGCTCTTCCCCCACAGCCACATGCGCTCACCTGCACTGCACACCCTCCTTGAGCATGCATTCGCTGCTGCAGCAGGTGTCGTTGTTCAGGTACATGATGCCAGGATCGCATTCCTCTCCTTCGTCCACCCTGGAGTTCCCACACACTTTGTTGCTTCGTTCTTGGAAACACTCCTGGGCCTTACTTTCAATGGTCTTATAGATGGACTGCTTACTGCAGTTTGAAAACATCTTGAAAGAAAGAAAGCCACAAAGGACCCAAAGTAACAATAAAAATGCATTCCCATGTAGTGTTTGTGTTTCTTCCCTAGAGACAAACTCTCAATGTAAAAGCCACAGTCAGAGCCACCTTGAAGGCATGTCAAGTTCCATCACTGTCTCCTCAAAATGCCAGTTATATGGAATCAAGTTACCTCCCTGAGTAGGGTGCTAAAAGCTGGTGTGGATTTGGGTAAAAGCCTAAAAATTCTTCACAGGCAGGCTGCACAGTGAGACCGTGCATCCCAGCCTGTCCCTCGAGAGGACCAACAGTCTGGTTCCACCAGATTCTACGCTGTCCTGTCCCCAGGCATGGCACCTGACACGGCCACAGTGCCAGTGAGAATTAGGAACACACCATCATCTTCCAGGACATAACGATTCGGGGATGCCGCGAATTTCTGATTTACCTTCTTCTCTTTCCCTGCCTATGTGTATGAATGACCCATGTTTAAAGTTTTTAGGGGCGCCTAGGTGACTCGGTCGGGTAAGTGACCGACTTAGGCTCAGGTCATGATCTCTGGGTTTGTGAGTTCGAGCCCTGTGTGGGGCTCTCTGCTGTCAGCACAGAGCCTGCTTCAGATTCTTGGCCTCCCTCTCTCTCTGCCCCTCCCGTTTGCAGACTCTCCCTCAAACATAAATTAAAAAAAAAAAACAAAAAACAAAGCTTTTAAATAGCTGAGCATAGTCAGAGGCATGAGATTACCTTACATGTGTTCTACTAAAAGATTAAATCCCAAATTGTAACCTAAACATTCACATGGATCCCCGTGATTTTAACAATTTCTTTGTGATTTCTACAGTTGACCAGTATCTCAAAGGAAGCCTCTACCCTAGTTCCCCCACCATTTTTGGTACAGAACCATGGAAATGGCCTTCTTATAAATTTGGGGATTTTTTTTACCAGGAGCTCTAAAATGGAATCCATTTTCCAAACCATCTGAAATCAGCAAGAAAAGGAGCAAGAGACTTGAGGGAAATTTAGTGCAGTTTCTTGAGGGAGGGTCTCCACAGTTGCTGCCCTTTTGCTAAAATGGCTTCACTTTCTCCCTAGAGAAGACCATGCCCTTGAGGAGCAGAGAACACAGGACCTTCCAAAGGTGACTGTGACCACTGAATCAGATGACAAAAGGATTACTTTTATTTATCTCTTTATCTATTTATTTAACTTATAAATGTTTATTTATTTTTGAAAGAAAGTACAAGCAGGAGAAGGGCACAGAGAGAGGGAGAGACAGAGAATCCCAAGCAGGTTCCGTACTGTCAGTGCAAAACCGGATGCGGAGTTTGAACTCACGAACCATGAGATCATGACCTGAACTGAAATCAAGAGTTGGACACGACCAACTGAGCCACCCCTGTGCCCTGAAAGATTACTTTTAAAAGATATTCAAGGGGCGCCTGGGTGGCGCAGTCGGTTAAGCGTCCGACTTCAGCCAGGTCACGATCTCGCGGTCCGTGAGTTCGAGCCCCGC